AAAAAAGATTCCAGAGAGAAGCTTGCAGGAAGAGAAGGTCCTTACAGTGACAAGAGTCTTTAAAGGCTCAGGGAGGTTGGGTGGGGCCCCTATACCTAAGGAAGTCCCCAGCCAGCCCCAAGACCTCACCTCTGTACTTTGCTGGACATCTCGATGGGGCGGCCAATGTTTCTGGATTCCAAGCTGAAGCTGGGGTCGAAGTATTCATCGGGAGAAATGGCTGTGGGGTTAGTAGGGCTGGCTGCCTGCTGCACAGGAGCCTGGGTGGGCCCCAGGACCATACTTAGCATCAGAATGGACAGATGGTACCCCATCCACCCACTGACCTGCCCCCCCCAGCACAGGCTCACCCCACTGTGGGAGGAGTGCTGCTGGGCCATCCCCAGGAAGGACTGGAATGGAGTCTTCCCTCCTGAAGAGAAGGGAGGGGGCCATGAGAGGATTGTGGGCCACAATCAGCCTGCCCTACCCACTGCCCCCCACCTGGGAGCCTGTGTGGGGGGGGTCAGAGGGTTAAAGAGGATGGATGGCCTCCCAGCTTATCTGGGGGTACTCTGGCTCTGACCCAGACCACATATCACTGGGCAGTAGGCAGGCGCACCTGGGTTTACCTTTGCTCCTCGACTTGTCCTGATCAGAAAGGTGCTCTGTGCGCGTGCGGGTCACCAGCTCTACATTGGTGGCACTGTATACCTGGGGAGCAGGACAGACAGGGAGAGCTAGGAGTTGAGAGCCTGTTCCCCACACTCAGCCTCATCAGCACAGGACCCCAGGGACAGGTGAGCACACTCCCCACAGTGGACAAGATGGCAGGGTCTGAACCCCAGGAGCCACCAGATGAGCAGATGCAGCCCAGGGGCCAAGACGAAAAGCAAATGCTCCTCTGTGGTTGGTGTAGGGCTGAGTTCACTATTCCACCTCTTCTACCACACTGAGAGTGGGTGTGGAAAAGGATCTGAACTCCTGGGCCTCATCTGTATCCCAGCCCACACCACCAGCCTCTCCTGCCTTGGCCTCGTAGCCGCTGACAGTCTCCATCTTCTCAGACCGCCATCCCCAGATACCGCATTTGTTCCTACAACAGACCAAATAGGAGCCACTGAAGATGTGTGCTGTCCACACCCTGGCCAAAGCCCCCTCCATGAGCCAGCTCTGGCTGCCCACCTCTCAGGGTCCTTTCCTACTGGGGAACGCAGAGGGGCCTTGGCGATGGGGCCATCTGAGCAAGGGCTGGGCCTAGATGATATTGAGGAATTATTGCTGATTTTATCAGATGTGGTAATGCTGCCTGGGCTGGATTAAGAAACATCTTTCTCTGTCAGAGTCACGTGCAAAAACATTTACTGTTGACAGGATGTGACATCTGGAATGTGCTTTAAAATACTCTTGGGGGAAAAAGGGAAAAGGAGAAGGAAGAATAGATTCAATAAGACTAGTAAAATGTTGCTGAATGTGGAAGCTGAGTGATGATGGCTAAGTATAATATTAGTTCTTTCATGTATGTTTGAATTTTTTTAGTTTTATTTTTGTAGTGCTTGGGAATCTAGGGCTTTGCATGTGTTAGGCAAGTGCTCTACCACTCAGTAACATCCTGGCCCATTGACATTTTCCATAATAAAAGGGTAAAGGTGTGCTTGATTCAAAATAATAACTGAAGACTTCAATGTTCCACTTTTACTACTAAATAGAACATGCAAACAAAAGATCAAAGAAACAGAAGAAATGAACAACAGCATGAAGTGGATTGTACAGATATTCTGAGAACACACCACCCAGTAACAAAAGAACAGTTCTCAAGTGCACATGGGACATTTTTTGGAATAAACCATATGCTAGGCCATAAAAGAAACCTCAATAAAATTCAAAAGGACAGAAGGCACACAAACTATGTTTTCCAACCACAATGGAATGAAATTAGAAAAAAAAAATCTTAGAAAATCCTTACAAATGTGAGGAAAGTAAACAACATAATCCCAAATAACTGATGGTTCAAAGAATAATAAAAAAGGAAGGAAATACTTTGAGATGAATTGAAATGAAAACAACATATCAAAACAGGGCACAATTAATGGCATGCTGAGTAAGAAATCTATAGCCATAAATGTGTACATTAAGAAGAGTTAAAAGAAAAGAAAGAAAAGAAAAAAGAAAGAAAGAAGAGTTAAAGGGCCAGCCAGATAGCTCAGAAGACTGAAGCGCTTGCTTCTGCAGAGTGCAGTGGCTTCCTCAGCTTGCCATACGCCCCCCCCCCCGGGGGTGCACTGAGACGGTGATTGAGATTAAGCATGGTGGCGCATGCCTGTAATCCCAGCACTTGGGAGGCTGAAAACAGGAGATCACTATGAGTCCGATCTACATAGTGAGACCCTGTACACCTTGTAGACCGTGTCCTAAATTTAAAAAAAGAATTGGGCATCGTGGACCCCACCTATAGTTTCAGCTACTTAAGTTAAGGTGGGAGGGAGGATCACCTTATCCACCACTGGAGGAGACCTGTGTGGGCAACATAGCAAAAACCAGTATCAAACAATGAGAGAGAGAGAGAGAGAGAGAGA